CCGTCGGGCGAAAGGCCCCTCGCAAGCGCACAGCACTGCCAGTGGCAATGGGCCTTGGACGGGCCTAGTCCGACGATCCCGAGTCGTCCGAGCCGAAACCCACTGGAGGGATGGGTACCCCATCCTCCTCTGGGCGCCTGCTGACAAGCTGCTGGCGCCTCCGACCAGCCTCGGACCACTGTGGGCGAGGCTGGAGGCTCGGGTGCGACTGACTCGGGATGGGCATCGCGCGCGCAGCAGCACGTTCGCGCTGTGCCCGCTGTTGCCTCTGAATTTCTGCGGTGTTGTACCGCTCGGACTCTGAAACAAAATCTGAAAACCTTGGATGCTTGCCTGCCAAGAGACGATTCCTGATGTTCGCACGGCCGCCACTCTTGGGAGGGCGGCCTGGACAAATGGCTGGCAAGCCTCTGAAAGCAAACTGGGCATAGCGCCCACAGACGAGACAAAAGACGACTGGCACGGCAAAATGCGCTATTGCCATCTGGTGGCTGGCGTGAATGCCTTCGAGGCCGCGCCTGAACGCGCTGGCCAGTGGCTGACACGCTTGTCTCTCTCGTGCGACAGCTGCCTTATAAGATCGGGCGTACGTAAAACAAGCCCTGCACCTGTACGGTATCGGCCCTTGAAGAACCTCCCAGTCGTGAACGACGATGGTGGCCTGAACCTTACAGGGCAGAGCAGCTCTCTCGCTTTTGTGCCTGTTCCGCTGGCAAAGGGCGAGAACTCTGGGTGCATATAAACCAATCGCTCGAGCGGCCTCAATTTTGCGCTGCAGCTCCTGCAGCGCTGTCGGGTTGAAACTTGGGTGGCATTCCATTGCCGCCTTCGCCATCTTGTCCGCTGCTGTGTTGATCTCGGCAGCGAGCCTGGCCTCACCAGCCAGCTCATTAACATTCTGATGGCTCTTGACTTTGGAGGCCGTCTCGAGGAGGTGCCTGCTGTCCCGCGCAAGCGCTAGCTTGTGCAGGCCTGAATACTTTAGCTTGCTGCTAAGACGTGTCGGCAGTGGCCTAGCGTGCTGATCCAGGACCGCTTTGCAGTCCACCCAGGCCTTGGAGGGTTTGGTGAGGGCCTCCTGGAGGACCAGGAAGCCCATGTGCTCCCCAGCCTGGGAAGTCTGGGGAAGGTTGGCTGCCACAGCGCCATAAAATGAGGCCTCTGGGGCCCCGTCGGTACTGTAAGCCACTACCGAAAACGTCGCTCTGTCTAACTCCGCAATGCCTGTCTTGGTGCACGACCCGTCGGTTCCCGTGAGCCCCCCAAAGTGCGGAACCGTGTCTGGCTGTCCATCGTGTCTGACAAATCGTACAATAGGCTTCTCCCTAGGCAGCGGAAAGTCATCGTGCTGCTCCCCTGGATGCTCGAATAGACCGAAGCAGTACAGGGGGCTGTTCTCTGGCGCCTCCAGCGCGTCCTGCAAAACGTCTGGCGGCAGCAGCTCAGTCCTGAGGGCGACTACCTCTGGATGCTGGCAAGAGAAAAGACGGTGGTGTATGGTGTCCCCGAAGGCTTTACAAAGCGGGCATTCATTAGGCACATTGTAGCCCATATTGGCGAGTTTTTCCTCGGTCCACCAACCCTGGACCACTAGGGTCTGGAGGATCGCCTTAAACCTGGGGGGCAACTTCTTGCTTTTGGGGGAAAGCGGGGACCGAACAATGTCGAAACAAACACGCTTCATGGGGGTTGGGCTGGGTATACTCTTAGCTGCCATGATTTCCCATCTCCTCAGACATCCTTGGTGAAGTAAATCGGAAAGCAGGCTCGGCGAGGTGTCAGTGAGCCTGACCGCCCTGCCAAAGTGGTCCTGCAGCGTAAACGCGGATGTGAACCTCCAGCCGATTCGTTGAAGCGCATGAGCAGCCGCGCTGAGTGGTCCTCGCACGGCGTTATAACTAAAATGTCCTGCTGGCTGCACATTACTAAAAATCTCCTTGAGCTCGAGCAGTCCGATGGTCCCTGGGGTCACATACTTGCCGAGCGTCGTGTTCCACACTTCCTGGGCCCACCTGAGGACTGGCCCGAGGGCCCAGCGATCGGCCCTGGACCCCGTGAGGGCGAAGGCCGCGCTTCTGGATTTCCTAGAGGAACACGGGGTAATCTGAGCAATCTCAAGAGACTGCAGCCTGTACAAGGACTTGTTGCTTAGCCCGTCGATGGCGGCCCCGAAAGCCCCCGCGGGAAGGAGCCCAGTGGTGACAATCTTGCGACAACGCTGTCCCGCGGTCGCGGTGAGCTTACGCAGGCGTTGCCCCCTGACAGTCGCAGTCCTGAGCCTGACCTTGCGCTTAGCAGCAGCGCCATTGCACCCGAAAGACTTGCCAGCCGTAAAGTCACAACCTAGATTGGTGGCAACCGCTTGGAGCTTGCCCCCTGAAGTCCCAAGGGCGGAGGTGAGAAGCCTGGCTAACGACACCGACGACGCAACGACAGCTCCTTTGTGGACCGCAATCCTGGCTTCTAAGTCGACCTCGATGAGTCGGGCAAGCTCCTTGGCGGCACTGACCACACGCTTGAGCACCCTGAGCGTAGTGCCGTGACAGGTGATGGTAAGGTCATCCAGATAGAAATCGAAAAAGACTGCCGAGTGCAGCGACGTGATACGCAAGAAGGCTTCAAAACAATAAATCCTGACGTAGAGTATACAGAAGGAACAGCCTGCCACAATGCCGTTGGTGGCCGCCATAGGCTGGGCCACACAGCGCTTCCACGCTATGTGTCTCCAAGAGCCGTATCCTGCGAGATGATATGCTAGCAGAGTCTCAGGAAATCCTAAAGCAAGCGCACGGGCCCGCAACTTGCTTCTTTTGAAGCGCTCAAAGAAGGCCTCCATGTCCCAGAGGACGCCCGCAGACGCCCCGCCTCCCGAGACGGCCCCTTCGGCTCTGAGACTCTGCCGCCATACCACATCGACTGGTGATCTGCCAGCACCGCATGCAAACCAAGAGTGATCGTGCTTGGCAATCCAGTCCTGGGCGAAATGGAGGCGCAACTTACCAGTAATTCTGTACATCATGGGAAAGATGCCGATGGGCCTGTAGCCTCCTGAAACCTTGCGAAGGAGGGCCACGAGGACCCACTGGAGCTGCCCAGGGAGCTCCCCCAGCACCTCGGAAACGTAGATGAGCTTGGCGAAGGCCTCTAGGGCCTCGTCCGTTAACATACTGAGATGCCTCATGTGGAACCCGTCGAGGGAGACAGCAGAGGACTTGGAGTAACTCTTGGAGATGTCCCTGAGAGCTTCCACTGAAGGGATCCCGATGGGCTCGTGAAGGTCGTTGTCCCTGTGGAGGGGCTCCGCCGAGGGCTCCCAGAACTTCCCAAACTTGGCCTGGTAGGTGTCCAGGGTACTCTGAATGGAGGCCGTGAGCTTACCTTCAATGACCACCGTGTCGGGCTCCCATTTGGTGCGCTCCTTAATGAACTTGTGAGCAGCCTTGGCCCCTTTGTCGAGGGCCTTATCGACCCAATCCTTCCAGGAGCTGGCATTAGCTGACCGCACGTCTGAAATGACCTTCTTGGCACATGCGTCAGCTCTGGCCTTGAACGAGAGCAGCTGCGCGACAGTGGTGGCGATCTTGCTGCAGCAAAAAGCTTCGGCCTCAAAGTCAGCGTGCAAAGCCACGATATACTGCTGGATATCTCTCAGGAGCACGCGTGTGCACTCGTTCTGCATCACGTGCTGGGGCCTGGCACGCAAAATTCTGGAAATGAGCTCGAAAATGGCTGGCCTAGATGCTCTGCCAATAACCTCCCCTGCGTACCTTTCCTCCTCCACTTCCAAATAGCTGGCTAGTCGGTGCAAGCGTGCAGCAATCCAGCTCGGCGCCGTGGGGAGGAGGCCGTACTGCTTGTGAGCTCTATCCTTGTTAGTTATAGACTTGAGTGTTGGCTGCGGGGCTCTTGCTCTCAAGCCAGTCGACCTGCGCTCTCGAATCCTGGTATTGGTCCGCTGTGCGAGCTCGAGCTCGGCGGCGTTGGCCCAGTGCGCGTAGGCCGAGGCGAAGTTGTGACGTAACACAACCTTGTGACGGTTACCTAAAGCGGAGATGAGCTTATTGATATGAAATAAAACTTTATCCCATGAAACAGTGCTGTGATGCACTATATCCTCTCCCTCCTCATCCTGATCGAATGAGGAGGGGAGGGGTGGTATGGTGGGGAATTGAAGGACCTTGACCTCTCCAAAATCTGGTGGCAGATCCAGCATAACGGGGAAGTGCGGCCTAGCATCCCAGTCAAAATCGACGTCAACGCCCTGCACCACGCAGGCGAGCTGTTGCTCGACGATGAACATGTCTATAACTGAACTGCTGGCCGTGCATGTGCCCATCGTGCAAACTGGTGCGAAGAGCTGACCCTTGATATAGTTGCAGAACTCCGAATGCTCAAGCTGATCTTGAGTGACATTGAAATCTCCTGCTATGATGTACTGCAGCCCTGAGACCTTAACCAAGTCGGCTACGGCCTCGAGGATGGCAAGATTGTCTGGCGAGAGGCCCTGACTCACGTGCCCGTACAAGGAGAGGCAGAGGATACCCGAGGTCTGGGGGAACTCCACAACGACTCCCAAGACGCGTTGTGGCACCAAAATACCTCCAGGGGGCCCGACGGGTTCCTCGAGAGCGTAGCACCCAAGATCTTCGGCAACGAAGATGGCGACCCCAGCTGACGAGCCTATGTCCCCTAGACCATTGGCCGAAGGGGCAAAGGCGGCAGTGGCAACCGACGGGGCCCAAAAACTCTTCCAGCCGTGCCTGGAGGCCCAGTCCGAGGCCTCGGCAATGCTTAAATCCGAGACGAGGTGCACCTCCTGAGCGAACAAAACTTTGGTGGGTCCCCACGCAAGCTCGAGGAGGCGCTTCTTGATGGAGCCCCAGGAGGACCCATTGAAAGTCTCGAAACGGGTGCACTGAGGGGAGGTGGGTGAGGAAGAAAATTTGGCCTTCCCAGCGCTGGCACACGCTGGCGAGACCTCTGACCCAAAAGACTGGCAG